ATTGAGAGCTGGGGCCTATGTAACTCTATGGGAAATTCACTGTTTTTGCAAGATATATCCAAAACTTATCATAATTTGTAAGGATCAGCCCCACAAACTTGCCCAATAAAACATTAACTTAATCTGACAAGAATTCAAATTCTGCTAAAACTTTTGGAAGCTATTGTGAAATAACTTTGTGTTAGTAGTGTTAGCTAGGCTGGCGCCACCTAGTGCCTCTGCTCAATTTCATTTCTCTCCAGCAACTTGGTCAGGAATCAAAATACACTAGACGTTTCGCGAAAACCCCGGAAGTGCAAGTTCAGGCACCAGCCTGAACCAGTCAGCGAAGAGTCAATGATTCCCGAGATCTAGGATTTAAAGCCGAAACAAAGAGAATATTTGGTAAATTTCATCAAGGGGAAAGACATTATTGCCCTTCTTACTACAGGATTTGGGAAAAACTTAATATACCAGTTAGCCCCGTTAGCGGTGCATTACATACGTGACCACCAAATAGCAGCGATTGGTTAAATGATAAAAAGTACCCGCCTACCATCGAGCAAATGAATTCTAACACTGTGAGGTCAGACGGTTTCTACGAAGTGAACCTGGCTGATGAATCAGGCTATAGTAGTGTTGTCACAATGCTAAAATTTCAAACTCGATTTTGGTACTAAGGACTCTGTCTTTGGACAATAAAATAATTTTTCAACATTAAATTGTAGTACTACAACCACTTGTATATTACCATGTGGCCTTTCATCAGTGTAATCCCACAGGTCCAGTATGTTCCATAATAGTACATCAGCATGTACAAGTCTATGTGCTCTTATACTTGTTATACTCAAGATCATTTTAAAGCTATTCAGGAAAGGTTCGTTTCTGTTCTGTGAATGTGATTTTTTTGGTATCGATACATGCTCAAATGAGAATCTACTTTTAATATTAGTTTCAGTATCGAACCTAATGAAGTTCTACAATACACTGCATAGTCCAGAATATAATGGTCCAGTGACTTGAGTAATCTTGTGGTGACAGAAGGTGATGGAATAGATTGATTTCCTCTTTGCAGCATGTAATGAGCAGGGTTTGTACGTGAAAGTGGGGAAAAGTGCATATCATTGACACTGAACGGAGCAAATATTACATACTCACTCATAGAGACAAAGACAGCTCACCACTTCAGTCCTAACATTTAACAACATGAGTGAACGCACTAGTGCTGTCGGTGGGGATAATTAAACCAGAAGGAAATTATAAGACTAGGCTACCCCTCCTCCAATGTCAATCCTCAGCTGGTACTACGAGCTAGTCTGTTGGGGATGAGTTAATCTTACCAGGAATTATTAGGCCAACATTTTTGAGAATTTAAACATTACATGGAGGCAACTTTAAGCAAGTAACCAAATATATTAGGATTGTTCACCATATAATGTTTTCTTTCATTAACCTTAAGCAGTAAAAGTACATAACAAAACACAAATCTTGCTGTTCTATCATCAAACCTATAGTATCCTTCACAGTGTTTTCTTTTTCTTTAGCCCATGGTTGGCTGATGAAACAATCATGCAATTTAAATTCAAAATATGTGACACATTTAAACACTTTTCTACTATACCCACAAAAACACAACACATCAATCCTTGTGAAAGCGTAACTACATAAAAAATCATATGACGAGCATACCCGAGAGTCGTATTTTTTGGACAACCACATTAAACCCATAAAATAGTCTAATGAACACATAATTTATCTGATAGGGGCAGTTGACTGCGGAGGCAGGTGCATGGAGAATTGAAAAAAAGCACTAACTATCTTTATGAGCCAATTACCAGCCAATACACACACTCTCACAGACACACGGACAATGGCATAGGCTGGTACTTCCACTGAACGCTTCAGACTTCACACTGTAGAACAATGCTTTATTAATGTTTGTGTAGTGCCTGATCAGCTTTCAGCAGTTACTAAGACCTCAGAGAACATAATGTAACATGTAGCACCAGTGGGACTATCTTTTACAATAGACTGTTTCAGTATGGTTACACTCTACCAGTAATAGCATGGATTGCATATTGGGGTCATGGGAATCTGGGCATTGTATTTTTCTTAAATATTATAACAGAGTGTAAAACATAGATCTACTATTGAACATTACTGAAATGGTTACTGATGGGTAATGTCTGGCTGCTCCAAATAGACACAGTTTTAGCCTTTAGCAGAAAGCTTCTTCACACACAGTGTACAGCTCATTGAGAGAGAAAAAGGGCGTGCAGTGGTGTGAAGGAGGGGTGTTTCTATGGCGACCACAGCGACAGAAGGAACCAGGCGCTGCCTCCTGACCCTCAGTGAGAAGGTGAAGGAGTGTCTCTGAGAGGAGCCAACACTAGAGCTTAATCAGGATACATGTAATGTCCACAGTGGCCTTAGGTCATGTGTACTGCAGAGGTCAGTTCAACCCAGTCTCAGGCACTTAGCATTTGCATCACAAAGATATTACGCAAATAGCATCAAAGGCAGATGCCTCTGCTTTGTAGGCTGCTCCAACCCAGGGGCAAGCCACCATCTCTTCCAAACTTCAACCAAACTTTCATGACAAATTTTCTTCCTTCACAACCAAAAATTTAGTCAGAAAAGGGTTTGGGAGAATGTATTCAGTAAGTTGATAGAAATAGCAACCAAAACTGAACTATAATTGGGTCAACCTCAAATATTCAGTGTTAGGGAAATGGGGTAGCAAACATCTCTTCAATTAATAAAATCAAATTATATACATCATTTGTTGTTGCAATCTGTTATGAGTCATCTCAGGATGTAATTAACAAACAGCGTATATGTAAAAACTATTTCAACATGTGGCTATAGCAACACAATTAGGCTCTACATGCAGACACCAAATTCATACAAAGTGAGCCAGTAATTTGTTCAAATGGTAAAATGCTGTGGAAAATGCTAGGTTCAAACTTCACGCAAGTTTTTGTCAATCTACATATAGCTAATAAAGAGAGAATTATATTATTTTTACAAATGAATAACCACAGACAGTATGCTTATACAGTAACTTGAATGGGCAGTCACGTGGCACCTCTCCTGTTTCTTTCTCCAAATGTGATACCTGAAGAGTACACTTCACTTGAGCCTTTGAGTCAGACATGCCATGCTCCCAGTGTCCCATTTACAGCATGAAACTGGAGAGTGAGAGATCCCCCAGCAACAGACACCATTAATGTCAGTGGATATAAACACTGTATTATGTATTTTATTAAGTCTAACTCTTCAAATGACTGAAATCTAAAATAAATTAATTGTGCGTGTTACTAGTTTTTTTTTTATTATTAATCATATATTTCCAAACATTTGTGAGGTACAGGTATACATTGTATTTCAAGCACATTTGAATATTTTATTATTATTCAAGACATATACACAACATTAACCAGTTCTGATGCTTCTATCATAATAACACCTGTATTCCATCAGCACTAACACTACACATCAGTGAAGCTCAAGTGCTCTTTAGAGAAAGTGAAGAGCTGAGCAAAAAGCATTTAGTCAGAGAGGGAAAAAAACAGGGACAGAAGTTACCTTGGCAACGGAGGAGGCGGCGTCATGCTCAGAGAGGTTAGGCCTGAGTGCTCCAGAGAGAGGGGTGAGCGAAGGCAAGCTGAAAAGAGACAGTCACCTTGGATGAGTCACATGGAGATGTACTGTATTTACCACACAAGGAGAAAACGGGGGAGTGTCACAATGTCAGAAGAATATGCACAGACACAAAACACAAAACAGATTAAATAAACCATCTTATTCCAGTGCACATTCTGTATAATCAGGTTGTAATTTGATTGAAAGTCTGCCCTTGACGAGTTCCGCCATGGTTATTGAAATGAAAATGCTCTTCAGTAGAAGCAGTATAAAATTGACAGAAGTGGATAGAGTAGCCAAATAAGTACTTAAATAAAAGTAGGGGGGAAAAAGTACAGGAAATTTTATTTGGAGAAACTACTACTTAAGTACTGAGTAAAAGTTTTGTATGTAAAATCAGACTCATAATATATAACTTACTGTAATCAGACAGAAAAGAAATTAAATACTGCACAGATTGAGATTCAATGAATATACACAAAATTCCAAAAATAACTCATATCTGAATAAAAAGTGTAAGAAGCTCAAATGTTTGAATTATTTAAGGTGGTTCAAGTACAATTACTTCAAAACGTTTCTCTAGTAACTGTAATGAGGTCCAAAAATGGACCAAACAAGGTCTAGACATCACAACTAAGACCATATACCTCCATATTAACTATCATTATGTTCTCCTCAACATATATGTAATTAATCTTTCTGCTCTCCCTCTGTAGACTTCCTACCTGGCAACTCAAATTTTATTCCTGTGTGCATTCGGACAAGTGAGATTTTATTCACTGTCCAATGTGTAGTGATCATTGGTAATCCCATTAATTCTTAGACAAACTGTAATATATTAAATTCTGTGCAATTATAGTAATGCAAAAAAAAAAAAAAATTACGTGATTAGGTTTTTATTAATTTTGATCTGTTAAGTAATTTGGGTTACCTAGGTAAGCACTTTCCTTTATACACATCTGGAACTGCTTTGCTGAAACAGAGAAACTCACCAGGCTATTTGACCCATAATTGTGAATAAACCATTTGACAAATGACCCATACTTAAAAGTATTAAGATGGAGTATCTGCTGACATGTGCTTGTCCACTAAGCATCTCGAAGTTACAGTAAGAATATAGACATTTCCTTGGAGAATGGAGAAAACTTAACGCCCTTTGTAAAATTACAGTATTTCATCCCTCACAATGGATCCTTCCTCTAGGGTTTTACCTCAATACAAATGAAGATACCAAGTCATATGAAATGGTGGCCTTGCCTACAAAGTGAATATACAAGTAAACAGTTGTCTGTCAACAACTAACTGGTAAAACAGAACATTAAAATGATAATCAAAGAATGGAAATGCTGAAAGACAGGTAGTAAAGAAAGAAGCAGTTTGTTACATTGGTGATTTATTTACAAAAGACATTATACAAACCTGTAACAAATTACAAAAAAGAATCCAACAGAACCTTTAAATAAGTATGTGTGGCAAGTAGAAATTTGACCTTTATAGAAAATATGGTAGGTCATGAAGGAACTACAGTAGATCAGGGGAGGTAATTCACTAAGCATGCAATGACAGAAAGGGTTTTCATATGTTTCTTATCCAAATATCTTAAGTGATTGGCACCTAAGTCACTCGAAGAACACACAAAAGAAGTCTGCTTTAAATCTGCCTTGGTTGCATTTGCTTTGACATCTTCCCAGAGAGAGGGATGGTTGAGTCAAACTGAGTCAGCACTGAAAATCCATTTCATGTGGTGCTGGTCTTCAAATACAAGAATTAAAAATCGCATCATTTTGGCAATCACTGCCAAAATGTTGGGTTAACTGAGGCATCAATTAACAGTTCAATAGGCTGTAGTCAGGATCACTAAGAGGGAGGGTCTTCTGCACGCATTGCCTTATATTTGGCCATGTCTTCTGGAAACACTTTACTGAGCTCCGAAATTAAAAGGCTCTTGAATTTCTGTAACAGACAAATTAAAATGTGTACATTTAACATGCTATGTGTATCAATTCTTGTAATACCCTTATAAGCAAATTATATGTTCTGTATAATCAACATCTCTTACCGTCATGGTGTCAATTTTGCCTTTGACCTGCTCATTCCTGGCCAAGGCTCTCTCCAGACACTCTTTAGTATACAGCTGTGGATTTCGCCCTTGATCAATATATCTAGACAGATGATTATAAATTTCAGCTTCAGAGATATATCTGTATAAGTATATTTCTATATTACATTTTTACTTGTACATGTTTATATACCGTAATTATGTCTTATTTGACAGCAGTCTCTTGCTATTTTTGCAGTTGTTTTTTTTTTTTTGTTTGTTTGTTTTTTAGAATTTATTATCACCATTAAAAATTTTGCTCTTCATTATTATAATATATTGTGATGTGTGAGCTACTGTGTCCAAATAATTTCCCTTGTGATCAATAAATTTTGTCTAAATCTCTAAGAAAAGTAGTTCATTGCATAATAGACGTATGATTACAAGTACAAGGTGATTCTAACAAAGCAGTATTTCATTATACATTATATGATATGGATTTTACTTCTTTTCAATGTAATATCCAGAACAACAGAAAATTTGTATGTTGAAGAGATTCTGATGACTTACTCAAAGACCTCCAGCGGAACGTTAATCTCGTGTAGCTGTTGACGGCATTTCTCTATATCTTGCAGTCCGGAAATCATAAAATTTCTGTAATAATGACATACATAAGTATAAATATAACGCAATACTTGCCGTAAGTACAATTGTAATAACATGAAAGATCGTCTGACTCACAGTTTTTGGTTGAGACCCGCTTGGCTGCTCGGCTGGAAGTCACTCACAATGATTCCGAGTTGACGAATATTCTCGATAAATTTCTCTAAATGCTCCTCTAGGTTGTCAAACTTCTCCGCCATATTCTCTGACTGTATTAATAAAGCGATATGACTGAAGCAGTGGGGTGAAAAATGTATTTTCTATGTAAAAAAAAATGCCTTTAAACAACTAGCAATCGTGTCCACTGCAGCCCCATTGTCAGACTGCTTTACGGCAAGAGTTGAGCCAATAAGCTGAGAAAAGCCCCGCTGTCATAGCAACGGCAGGGGAGAATGTATCGCCATACAAAATTTAGAGACTGAAAGTGTCGTGCGATCGGCTTTTTGAGAAATAGATTTCAGATTTCATTAGATTTATTTATTTTTATTTGTAGATTTGCTTTTTGAGTTTTCATACTGTCCGTTTTGAAGTTTGAGACTTAATATAACCATTTGACTTTACGTAATGGCATGGCCAATCAGTTAAATTAAGGTCCTTATTCATCATTGATTATTTATCAAATAAGATCTATTTATTAACATGCTACATTACATGGTATATTTTTGCATGTGGTTTGGCGTCCCTTCGTCTGAAATTTTATTAAAGTCAATTTACCTCAATTTTCTTTATTGGGTTTACTTGTATTGGAGACTTTATTTTGAAATACACTCTCACGGGCCTGTTCCGGTTGGACTCTCTTGACAGACTGGATCACCGGGGGTGGTTTGTCCTCGCTCGCCAGCATTTAAACAGGAGCTGGCTGCCGCAGCAGCACACCAAAGCCTCTGCTCCTTTCGCCGCAGACTGCCTCGGTCACTGGCTTGCTATTTGGAATAGACAATTGGTTTATTGGGATCGTGTCAACCGAGCGTGACGAGACTGGGAAATAGAGACTGGTAAGCGCTGGGCGAAAGAGCAGCGATGGGGATCTGCTGACAGAGGACGCACACAAGATAATGGTGTATGAGTGTCGGGATACCTCGACTGTGTGTTGAAATCTTTTCGTGTTTGCTTGAAGACCAAATGTATTTTTTTCTTTGTGGCAACATTGTATTGCTTTATTTCCAGATTTAGGCAAAGGTTTATTGATTTTTCTCATTATTTCCAGAGTCCCTGAGGACACGGCTGTGGATCCTGATCATTTGTGTAAATGGCTACCTGGGGATGCTCTATTTCACTGTTTCAGATGACCCGCGTTTGTTTTCTCTTTTTAAACAATCTTATTGCTCTGTGTAGCCTATTGTTGTCTTGTTTTATTTTGCTTTAAAAAACATGTAGAAATATTTTAAGATCAAGCTTGTGCGTATCTGGCCACTGCAGTGACTGTAACGTCAGCTCTTCTCGATCTGTCTACCACACTGATCATCTAAATAATGTCTTTTTGTTTGCTTCTCAGGATCGACGTGTCGAGATGGTGCACTGACGAGCGCAGGCTGCAGCGAACGGAGGGGATTGCGGTACAGCAAGGTTAATAATCAGCGTCAATAAAGGTCGTCTGTGTGAGCAGAAAGAGACTCCAAAGGGTGAATCTCGCCCCTGTGTGGGGAGATCGGCGGATAAGCAGAGATCTATCAAAATTATGGCCACCTTACTGCGGAAAATCGGTCTGATCCGACTGCACGACCGAGACACGGAGGATCCAAAGCATCACCAGGGCTCGCTAAAGGGCACCAAAGGCAATCAGAAGAATAACGCTAATAAACACTGTCAAACCGCAAACGAGACCAACATCCTGAGTACTCCGGAGATTAAAGCTAGGAAGCTGGACCAGCACGGTAAAGACAAGGCGCCCGGAAAGGATAAGCAGGGCAAGGATGCTAAGGAGAAGCAGCAGACAGGCGGAGGCGGGAGTAAAGCCACCAGTGCCTCGTCCATACCACCACTGGCGCCTCACCGGCAGCACTGCACCCAGGTCCGGACACGCAGGCTCATGAAGGAACTACAGGAGATCCGGAGGTTAGGGGACAACTTCATTACTGTGGAGTTGGTGGAGGACAACCTGTTCGACTGGAACGTCAAATTGCACCAAGTGGACAAGGACTCGGCCTTGTGGCAGGACATGAAGGAGACCAGCACTGAATATATTCTGCTTAACGTCACCTTCCCCGATAACTTTCCCTTCTCTCCACCGTTCATGCGCGTCCTGACGCCACGTTTGGAAAACGGCTACGTTCTGGACGGTGGGGCCATCTGCATGGAGCTATTGACCCCACGAGGATGGTCCAGCGCCTACACTGTTGAAGCGGTGATGAGACAGTTCGCAGCAAGCCTTGTGAAAGGACAGGTGAGATCCCGAGTATATCATTCATCAAATCTCTTTTATTCCCACCAGAAATAAATTGAGTGAGTCTATGTGTCATTGCACAACATGACTTTTTGCACAATACAAAAAGACGTGTAGGGATTTGGATGTAGATATTTATTATAACACATCACACTCTTAAGGTTTTAAAGGTAAATAAAGAAAGTGTCTAATTCTTGATCTATTATCTATTTTATATCGAACAATGAAAATGAAGACAAAGCAATAAAGCAATATAATTAAATGTATTATTGTAGAACACTGGTTGCTCCAGAGGTTTCCTCACCATGTAGCCCATAACTGCAAAGTCCCAAGGTGGCCTTAAAAGTATTCTGTGCTGATAGTGTACTGTGTAGGTCCAGGCCACTGAGTTCTTTACTCCTCCTCTTACTGCATTTGAGACGACTGTGAATATTATTCATCTTTAGGTGACTTAACAGCGGCCATTTCATGCAACACCCAGTATCTCCTTGATGCCAGCTCTATATGCAGCAGGCTTGCTTTGCTTCCTTTATCGCCTCTATAAATCAGCACCCCTGACAACAAAGACCTGCTTTAGCTGGCAACAGAAACATGCCTCTGCAGACTTAATGCACTGTTACAATATATTTACTCCTATCAGAGTAAGGATAGGGATCTCCCAACATGTATCAATGGTCATGAACACATAAAGATCCAGGTGGTTTAGTGACTGAACCAGTGGCGCATGGTGACTTAGACTGACTGGATTATGTAATCCTGTCAAATCCGTTATTCACATTCATGCATTGCAGCATTGGCATCAGTTTTGATGAAAATGACAGTTGTACTAAATGTGTTTTTGAGGCTAACACACTTAAACCAGTGACAGGGCCATATTTTGTGCTAAAACGTTGTGATGTGTTCATTGCTTTGCACTTGCATGTGTAGAGCGTCCCCTTTTGTCACCGGTCTTTTGACGTCAGCAGCGTGACAGTGTGTGGCGTTGCAGAGGACCTTATGTAAACCGTCACTGGATTCTCCTCACTCCCCCCTCCCCCACTTTCACGTTTTTTGACTTTGATGATATAACTTAACAGGGACAGCGTGGGGGCATTTATCATCTGTCGCAAAAACAGATTATGTAAATTCAGCAGCCACTGTAGGGGGAATCAGAGGAAAAAGTGTGTTTGTGTGTTTATCTTGGTGTGAGGCTAGCGCTGCAATGCTCCCTAATTATGCTGCAGTGTCGTCGTCCTCCTTGAGATTGCAATGAAAACAATATTGATTAATTATCTCCGGGAGGGTGTATTTCTTTGTTAAACTGTTGTCAGTGTAGGTGTCTAATTTTGTTGGGATACATGACAGATGAAGTAAATAAAGCTTCCTAAAAATATATCAAATATTTACTACTAGGACATCCGTTGCTTTTGACGGTGGTGACAAGTTTAGAAACCCCCTCTATTTTTACAATTTTGTGTGTGGAGAGGATGTTTGCCAGTCAGTTTGCCAGTCAGTTTAAGCTCAATAATAGACATATGTTTACCCACAGATGTCAGATAGCTGGGTACACTGTGTGAGTGGATCCAGCTTCCAAAATAGGATTGTTCCATGTCCCGTGAGCCTATTTATAATCTTATCAAATGTTATTTTAATCATTATGGAGGTGGCCAACATAGTAAATATGTTTTTAGAGAAAGTTGTCGAATATAATTGATACAATCCGCATTATTTTACACTTATAAGTTTCCCTTTTGTATTGTCGTAGCTGTAAATATAGAAGTGTAGTCTAAGCTTAGAAATTGATCTGTGTTGTCTGTGTAGCCTTGGCTGGAAACTAGACCTTTTCCATCTACCACCATTACAGCAAGGGCCATATGCTCTTCATGTTTCACCGTCATTCGATATTTTCGGTCTGTTTGAGTGAAATACTTTTTAATTACAGTATTTTAGTCTGAAATATACATACAGTGCTTTTGCAAATTTCTTTATCTACTGACAGTGTGTAATTGAAGTTTTGCAGTAATGGTAATATCAGTAGTATTATATGTAACTATTACTTTCAATAGTTTCACATTTATTCCACTTATATGTGTAATGAGTATTTACAGCTCTAATTAAGATTATTTAGTAACAGTGATCATCAGAATACTTTAAATTTCTAATGCCTAATTTAATTGTTAGTAACTTTTCAAGTCCTTATGTTAAGCCGACAGTAAACAGTAATTATTTTAGTTTGCTGTTAATGATTGCTATTATTCTTCATGCTGTCAATACACTGAGAGGGTTCTAAAGTGATGTACTCATAGGAACTTCACAGGCAAGAACTGATTAAAAAAGTACTTTTATCCTATTGACCCTGTCCTGTCCATGCAGCTCTCCTTTAGCAATCAGATCATGATGACGCCAGTATTGACTTGTATGTTTATTCCAGCACATGTCTGAGTTATGCAATCTTCCCCTGTCCCCCCAAAGCTACTTTCCCATGATGCAACTGTGGCTCGCACAACTGGTCTGCCCATTGACTGAGCTTCATTCACACGATTAGCCAGCAGCCACTTAGCATGAGTGTTTCAGAAAGAGTCATTTTAGCTAGGACTAGATAAACACTAACATGGCTGATGTATTAGTCCCGAAGCACTTGTGGGTTATAAGTTACGCACTATCATTATTGTTCACACTAAGATATTTTTACCTCTTGACTATATGCATCTTTGAGTGCATCACCAAGCTATTATTGAGAATAGCTGGGGGCATAGTAGCTCTAATTAATGCTCGATTTCCTCCTTTCATGCCAGAGTTGGACTTTTATATCGTCTTGTACCAACACATTGGCAGGCATAGTTGCAGTCATTTGCACAGCACGTCCTCCCTGTCTGACTTCAGTTTTTTTGATCTACCTCAGGGTCTGACACACTCTATTGCTGTGTTCGCTGCACGCTTTGCAGCTCTGTAAACAAGTCTGTCTTATTTATTATCACCAGCACATTCTTGTAGAGGACAAAAAAATAAGAGTTTTGTTGCATGTAATAAGGCTCAGAACAATTTATTTAATGGAATTCATCTTGGAGACCACTTTCTTTAATCTTGCTTCAGGCATATAGTGCTGCGTTTATTGGGGTCATCTTGAGCAATTTCAGCTACAGTGGCTCATATGCCAGATCAACACTTGGGCTTTTTTAGATGGATAATAACTAGTGGTGATATAGCTGTTTACTCTTTACACACAAAAGTACAGAAAGATTACTTGAAAGATGTAAACACAAGTTTCGTCTTTATTTTTAATCAGTTAACCTTTGTTTGGTTTGTTTTTTTTGCCCACCTCTGCTGTTGCTATAACAGTTTGTCCCATATCAAAATGCCACATTACCTTGTTGTCTAATATACTAGCCCAATCAGATAATTAATGATTGTTTTGTTTCAGGAAATGCATTAAGATTATAACTGAAAGGTGTTTTCCTGCTCAGATAGTCACATAGTTTTTGTTGTTGTTTTATAGCAATAGAACCTGCATCCTGTAGTTGGCAATGGGAGAATGGAAAAATATTAATGACAGTAGTTAAATAATGAATCTTTTGAATTGGTAAAATGCTGCAGAAAAACATTACAACAAATTGTTTAAATAACAAGAACTTTTTTTGAGGAGCATTTTGGAAAGAATTTCAATTAGCATGAATTTAATTTTCTCTCGGTTGGCAATTAGGAGAAGCCTTTCAAGTTGTGTGACTAAGCTCTGCTGTGGATTTAGGACAATTGTGCAACAGAAACAGTATAACCCTAATCTCAGGACACTCAATGCTGTCTGGTCTGTTATCTCCTGGACAAAATGCCATCTTATTATAGAGCACAGTTAACCACAATTTACCTATGTGGTGGCTTATGCTATATCATTAAATTAGGTTCAGTTTGATTTGTTAGGGGCTCATTTACTAAATAGCATTCAAATTGATGTTTTTTTAATGCCTGAATGCTATTGTGGGCTGTAGAATTACCAGGGACAGTGTGTGCCGCCAAATGTCATGAGTTTAGGGCAATGAATAAATTCTTCAGGCATTTGCATTTTGATGTCTATAAATGAATCTGCTTCACTGGCCCTTGGTGATTTTACATATATATTTATGATACAATATACCATTATTTGTTGCTATTACTATATTCAATATATATAGGTGAGGTCGTCTGGTACTGTAACATATTTTGAATGATTTCTTTTTGAAAAGCTATTGAATGATAGCAGCATGTTTACTTCAGTTCAGTAGCACATTACTGTCAATAGATCAGGTTGCAGTGTGCCAGTATTCCCCTTACATTTTATACTGCACTGCACCATGCTCTGGACTCACCTTCTTACAGGATTTCATTAGTATTGCTTTCAGTGGGGAGCCTCTGTGCCATTTTGTCTCTGCCAGGGAAATACTCAGGAAGCGGTGCAGTGTTTCAGGCAGGGTATGTGTACAAACAAATACAAAGAGCTTGCTGGCTTATTACGCATCGCAAGATATTCGATTTTGTCCAGCAAGCAGACGGAGAAGATATTATTTAATATTTACTTTGGAAGGCAGTTTGGGAGGCATGGCAGTTGGAACTCCTACTCTCAGTCAGGGCTAAGCAGTCAATAGAATTTAATAGAGATCAAAATCTAGTAATTTAGAGCTTTAGAACAGAGAGGTCTACAGGAAATCTGCCAGTAAAAGCATGGGGTTTGGAGCAGAGTACAGATTTAAAGGTGCATTACACTATGTAACTTTTCTGGTAGATGTACCTGCTAAACTCCATGTAGATGTTATTGTTTTTCCCTTGTGCTACAGTATGACTTTGAATTTAACTATCTCAGTGGAGACAAGTAGGCCACATCACCAAGCCAACTTACAGACCGGATCTGTGGAGAAGTGGGCCCGCTCACAGTAAGAACACATGTTTTGGTGGTAGTTTTCAGAAATAAAAACAGTAAAAAAAAAAAAATAAAAAAAGATATATATATTTTAATGCCATACTGTGGAACATCCCAAGTAAAGCAATGACCATGAGACACGCAGATTGCAGACACACCATCAGAAAAAGTACACAGTGTAGCTTTAAGAAATTTTTATTTTTTGTTAAATAGCAATCATTAGAATTCTATATTGTTTATGTTCCAGAAATGAATGTGGGAAGCCTTTTTATTGAAAATTGGGATGTGAGGGGGAAAAAAGATTTGTATTTTTGTCATATCATCTGAGACCTATGTGCAGGCCTTCTGTATTAGTGTGTGGTTTTGTGTACTCCAACTTTCTCCCGTTTTCCAGATTTAAAAATGTTGGAGAAATGTATTAATTAACCACATGCATTGGGAAATGACTTGTATGTTTGTCTGTGCCTACCAGAAACTGAGTTATAAAAAACATATTTGTCAGGTCATAACCCCTGGTGGTAATGCATGGATGCTGATTGTTCTGGAAAGATACTGCACTTAGGAATCACATTGTCTGACTCACACCCCTGTCGTGACTGTCACAGAAAAGACAGTTTTCCTCCCACACTTTTTCCTGAGGGCACAGAAAAATAGACAGAGCCTACATTTCCCTAGTTAATTCATTTATTATTAGCCCTAGCCTGGCTTTGGAACAAGGCACACATCATGGGAGCTTTTCACACTGTGTACGAGTGGTCATTTATTCATTTTCTTTACATTTAAAAGCTTTTCATCATTTATTGCAGTGGTTGAATGTGGAATTCCCTTCTCTGCCTTTTCCAGACATTGTACTTCCTCTTCAGATTGGACGTGACATCTTAACAGCCCTCTATCTGCCTTTAAACATTGATCTAATGTTGGTCAACTTGAATCCAGACCGTTTGTGAAGATGTCCCCTGCGGCATGCTGTTTGAATCATGTTCACGTGTGCATCTCCAGTCTCTATGTTGTTAAGAGCTTGGTTATTGCCTTTGCACAAGTGATTTATGTCTAATGGGATCATTTAGTTTTATTCCCTTACGAACTTGTTACAGTACTAAATGTTCTCTGAAAAATGATAACAGTTGTGAACTGTGAATATTACAATCTTTGCTAAGCATTGGTATAGGCCTAATATGCACAGTATTAGTTATTAAACAACAACAGGCTCGGGTCCAGACCAAATTGACTGAAGGTGCATCCAAGTTTCAAAGGGGTGCAATTACATTACTCTTCCATTAAGACTAATTATTTTACCGGCCTAAAATGAAAGTGCAAACACTTTTACTAATGAGATTGCAAGGCACCCTTTTGCACCCTGTAGACCAGGGCCTGCGTTACAATCGGACATTTTAGTTCTGTCCTATCTTACTATCCCATATCAGATATTCTATGAAATCATATTCAAAACTTCTTTTTAGTTTTGGGGGTGTACAAAGAGAGAGAAAGGGGCTGATGTTCCAGGGTGTTAGGGGCCTAGAATTAGACAATTTTATCTTACCACTTATCTCTATTATTCTCTAACAAAACCGGTCCTGTGTGAGCCTTCTTGCCACAGGCTTTTAAAATTAATGGACGGCTCTACTCAACATCCTGTACTGTACATCTCTCTCCTAACCTTATGTCCTCTTCTGTCCTTTTTGTCTTCTAGGGCCGTATATGCAGGAAAGCAGGGAAGTCTAAGAAAGCATTTAGTCGCAAAGAAGCGGAAGCCACCTTTAAATCACTGGTGAAGACCCACGAGAAGTACGGCTGGGTATCTCCGCCTGTGTCCGACGGCTGAGGGCTAACCTGCTAGCCCTTTAGCGCTAGCAGGCCCACCATGGCTAGCCCCTTTGACATGCAAAACAACACACCATGCTAACTCAATCTTCAGCACATCTCACTCAACTCATTTCGGTGTGTTTGTATTATAATTTTGGGGACGTTATGAATCTTTTGGGAACATGCAATCATCATCATTCTATTTTGTCCTATAAGACTTTTAAGGCCTTTCATGGTGTGTGTTGTCACCGCTGGACATTAGCTGGGAGTGCACATACATCCAACTCTGTCTTACTGTTTTTTTGTTTTGTTTTTCTGGTAAATACACTTATGCACTTGCAGTTGAACAAATCAGACTTGATGGACTACAAATGTGAAAGACTACTGAATGACAGATATCACCTCATCCCTCTGTCCTCACTGATCCGACATCCCATTTTTGTAGTTTTTTGTCCATTTACATATAAATGAAGCTGTTAATGTTTAATAGACTGGCAGCCCATTGGCGTTCATTAATTCACTATGACATTCCCTCCTTTTTCTCTTTTCTTTCGGCCGTGCTATCCCTCACAGTTCGGTGCAACATGAAGATTGTAATTTTACATACTGTACGATTCCTTTCTTTCTCTCTATTGTTCTTGCCGTCTCTTGTGGCTAAATTTAGCGCTCACTGTTGCGTAGACGGATTTCAAAAACGAAAGAAAAATATGTTACATGTTGCTTTTATGCAGAGACTTTGTATGATAACTAGAATGACTGTCAATCACCTCTTTTCATCTGCGTATAATCTTTTGTGGGTGTGCGAGCGTGTATGTTGGAGAGGAAGAAGACTGTAATTCCCATGATTTAGATACCAGATGGTACAGGGCTAAAGTAGTATGCGTGCGTAAACAAGGGAGCTAGCCCTTTACACAGAAAAAATATGATTTACTGTGAATTTATTTAGCTTTTTTGACTGTGTCCAGACTGAGTATATGTAATTGTGCTACTACATAATCTTCGTCTCTCTCATGTAAACAAGTAAAGGTCAGTAGAATGAATGTACACTTTGGGTCATTTCGCCATGCGCACAAACAAGCCCGGGCACATACTACAAATGACTATGGAGGGAAAATTGGTTTGGGCTTTGAATGATGGCAGACTGACAGCCAGTGCGGAGAAGAGCAATCCTGAGTGCTTTCATCTTCTCAGAAATGTCAGGTAGCGCACAAAATGGCCGTGCCACGATTACTTAATAGTATCCAGCTAGACCCTTGTACGGATGTTATATTAACTCCTAGCGAAAAGCATTGGTCTTAATCACTGGACGTCTGTGCTACAATGTGCTCCGCCTTGTGTTTGTTTTCCTATCTACCAGTTAAATGTCAAAAGCGGAGCTGCTAATTGGTCTGACATTTTGGGCTGAGCATCATTAGGGGAGCACAGAGGGATGCAGAATGGCAAGGCCCAGGAAAGATCGTTTTGTCACTTCTTGCTCGCTGTAGTTGTGAGGAGTCAGCCTAGAACTTCTACAATACAGGCCTAAATACTCCCTCAAATGCTATTGTCTCTGCGTGTGTAATTGTTGTTAAATTCATAGTCAAATACATATGTAAAATAATGATAAAACACGCCATCTGGTATGTAATCATGTGCAAACACCTGCTAGTCCTGTATGAATCTGGCTAGTCATTTCAGGGTCGTATAGTGTTCTCTTGGCTTGGAGAAAACTGTCAAGTATTGTTACAAAATATCTCAGAAAGCTGAGTGTTTGAGAATACTTTGTGATATAGTTTAGACTGGTAGTTTGCAGAACCACTAACTGGGTGAACTCTGATAATGTTGTAATATATCTGCATGTGATATGTGATTGGTAGCTAGCTACTGTATATCTTTTTTCAAGAAAAGCAAGGGAAAAAAAAATCAACATCTGGAGAAAACAAAAAATGCAAAATGCTTCTTTTCTTGTACTTATAAATCTTTTTTGGATTCTGTACTGTATGTATATGCTTTATTTTTTTCTTTCAAAGGCGTCCTACAAAATGTCACATTGTGTTATATGAATGTTTGTGTTTTTATTTATTTGTGGTTTGCCAAAATGAAGACTTGAAGCATGTTGCAGGTATTGTCACAAGATAACATGAAGAAAATGTAAAAGTGTAATGTAGAGATGATGGGGAAGGTTAGCTTTTGTGGCAGGACTCCAACTTCTGAAAGGATTAGGAGCTCACAGAAAATCAGTTCTCTCCGCTCCTAAGAACCAGGTGTCCGCCATGATGTCACTACTGTCCCTTCCCCATCGTGATAGCCCAATGGATTGTGGGAAATGCAGTCATCACATTTGGACTGAAGTCTCCCCTAGTTACAGATTAAATCACAGTATAAAGATGCTTCAAATCTCTTGATAAAGAATTACTGTGCATGTCTGACCTTTAATCTGTTGCTATGGGCAACTTCATGCCACTTGAGTGTTTGGTCGAGGCCAAGGTCTTAACATTCAAAAGGTGAAAGGTCAATGCAAGACCAAACAGGAATGTGCAATAAAAGTTACAGCTTATTTAAATTGACATCATTGCTTGTGATTTTGTGCTTCTTTCCTTCTACAATGTGATATTAATTTAAAAGTTGATATTGGCATTGCATATTGCTAGAGAAAAACAAAAAGGATACATCTAGACCTGTAGTCAACTAAAGAAATTCTTGGTCGACAAAAGACATGCTCTGTTGATTGACTGAAAAGGGTGGGGCAAAGGTTCTCAAAACTATTACATACCTAGTATGTATCTGACCCAAACTGCACTCACAAGACTACACCTGCATGGGAGTTTATGCAAACTATTTATTACTATTTATACAGAAAACTGAAATTGTGTATTTATATAAAGAAAATGCAGATTAAACTGCCAAATGCTGTTGCTTCTCCTAGTCCATTAAAATCTAAATTTAATAATTAGTCAACTAATACATGTTTTGTTTGACTAATATACAATCACCTGATTAAAAGCTACATCACAAACCTATAAATTTGGCTAATTTCACTTGATTCAGTTTACTGTACAGGTTTTCCACACAATTTTTTTCAGCAAGTAATGTCCTGGTCCCAGACGTGTTGTGTGCATGCTTTCTTTGAGAGCTGTAAGGTAATGTTTAAAAATATTCCTTTTTTATACAAAAAATATTATTGCAAAAATGTATTCATTGAATGCAATAAAATCAGAATTTAGTCACACACAGATGGTTGAAAAGCTGTGTGCTCACTACCTGCTCACCGGTGTCTAGGTGAGCTCTGCATATCATTAATCATTACCCCCTTGACCTCTGCGTGGACGTGCCCGCATTCACACACACAATTGGCTGTAACAAATATGTTCATTATCCATCATTTGCTCTATGTGGTATCAAAAAAAACATATTCAGAAATTATGATACAGTAATAAGTTACAAGCTGCAATTCATGACAAATCAGCCCTTACAAACTGTCTCAAAATGGCAGTTGTATAGTATCATTGATTGAACATTTTGAAAGTTGCTAAAATGTTTATATTTTTGGGAGTAAGTCATGGGACATTTTATAGACAAATGTACATTACGGTCTTTCTGCAAACATTATTTTTGGGACATGGGCTTATGCATAAATAATGACCCAGTTTGAAGCTGTGTCCTCTGCCTGGCCTCGCTGTTCCAGTTCCACTGGTGACCATCAATAATGGCTTCTGTACAGACAGGATGCATTCACTTGTGCTTTCATAAGGCTGAACAAAACAGACTGTTCCTTCCACCAGCAGGTTCTGCATTTACAAGTACAAGAAGGCTTCAGACAAAAGGAAACAATATGGCCTTTCCAATTTGTAGAAAAAGAACAAGATGGTCTCTCAGGGCCTTGTTCCTATTTCAAAATGCGATTATCAGCTCTGTATCAGAGTAAGTCCTAAAAGGCAACTGAAATACCAACATTACTGCTTTACTCACAATATTATGACTAAGTGAATGAATGTACCTGTTTTTACTGATGGGGCAAAGGCTGCAACAGCGTATGTTTCAAATATGATTATAATATGAAACTGTGACAAAGATGTGGAATAAGCACTACAGGATTTTTTTTCTTCTACTGTAGTTATTTAAGTTAAACAAAAGACCATAGTATTCCTTTAACTACAGTTCTTTGTGTAAGAAAAGGTTTGTGCTATGTCCCAATAATGCCATTCATCACACCTGCCCTTATGTGGCTAGCATCCCAAATATTTTAGGTGAAAGGGGTCGAAATGAAAAATTGCTTACCCCTTGCTTTTGCTTCAACCTTGAGACTTGTGTCTTGCATTTATATTAGGATTTATAGTTGAGGTCACACACCTCCATAGATTACCACTATGGTGTCTTTGTCAGCATCTGTTCAGCCTGTAGAAACTCATCTTTGCTCAAGTTCTGCGAAAACAGACAAATCTACCTCTCTCTCTCTCTAACACACACACCAACAATGTACCATAATCATTGCTGACATATCCCAATTAACTGGTCCCTGAGCATGCTGGCCTTTGTCAACTTGATTTTTCTACCTCCGCTCATTAGGAAGCCACGCACAAAATATTGATGACACCATGGCCAATTCTCAGGGGACACAGAACAAGTAAAGAAGCCTAATGCCTTGATTAGTTTATCTACAACCAAAACAAAGTGTTCTGGTAAGC